TTTATCTTTTATCTTTTATCTTTTATCTTTTATCTTTTATCTTTTATCTTACAAACTATGCTAATAAAAACAATGCAATTTAGATCTTACCAAACAGCCCCACTAAAAATAGACACCTCTTTTAGAAATATTACATTACAAAACGTAGACACATTTAACCTACTCGGAATAAACATAAACACTCATATAAATTGGAAAGCCCACATAGAACACATAAAATCGAAATTGTCAAAATTCACATACGCTCTTTTCCAAATTAAATGCAGTACCTACTAATTTCGAGACGGCACTGTCAGCTTACTTCGCATATGCGTCCTCCTGGTTGAGATACGGCATAATGCTGTGGGGCGACAGTGTTAACTTTCACGACCTATTGTTATTACAAAATAAAATGCGTACGAATCATAGCACAAATAGCTAGTATAATCAAGATAGCTGCAGACCCTATTTTATTAAATACAATATTCTAACACTACCATCAATATATATTTATGACATATGCAAGTTTGTATTTAAAAATAAAGCTAACTTTACTAAAGTAAAAGACACCCATAATGTTAATACCCGACATAAAAACAGACTGTACCTACCACCATCTAGAATTAAAATGCTTAACCAAAGTCCTTACTACATGGCAGTCAAAATATTCAATGGATTACCGAAAGACCTACAAAACGAAAGGAAAGAAATAATATTTGAGAGGAAATTAAAAAAGTTCTTAATACAAAAATGTTTCTACTCAACCAAAGAATTCTTCGAAGGAAAATAGAACACCAACATTAATGTAAAAACCCACCTCATAATACACACAAACACCTACCTACTAACTCACTCAATAACAACTTTTTTTTTTATTTATCTAATTATGAACTATTTTGTTTATTTTTTTTCTCTTTTATGCAATGTAATGTAAATTAAGTAATTTTATATTATTTTATAAGCTATAGCCCTCTTTGCAACGCCTGAAAAAGGCCGTTAAGCTGTGCCTGTTATTTTAATTTAAGATCCTTGTACCCACCTTAACATGCAAATAAAGAATTTGAATTTGAATTTGAATTTGAAAAAAATATTATAAAGAGGTAAAATTTGTAAGTTTGTATGTTTGTAAGTTTGTATGTAGGGGGTAATCTTTGTTACCGCTGGACGGATTGACAAAATTCTTTGACTGATAGATAGTTACAATGTACCTTACTGCTATCGGCTATAAA